AACTCCCTTCCAAGCTCCAGCTTATCTGATGGTGAGAGATTCTGTACTATCAGACCTGAAGAGGAAATAACCTGTGTTGGTCCCCCCCTCTCTTTTTTGATGCATGATTTATGAATTTCTTAATTATAATTATTTAACATTCATCACTCTTTTTTTTGGCCAAAACATAGAAGGCCTGGAGGTCCGTTTCTAAGAATTAGTTTCTGTCAAAGCTCTTCAAAATCTTTCTGATTCTGCTGTCGGTTCATCAGGATGATGCTCTGGAGAAAGTTTCTGAATAAAGCTCGGAGAAGCTCACTCATCAGGTTATAATTGTAGAGTATACAATAATGACAAGGACGAGATAAGATTTTAACGCTCCTGCTCGAAAGCAGGACTGCTATCATGAGTAGGAAAAATCAAAGGAATGAAAAAAACAAAAACAGAAATCAAAGAATCAGAACAATAAGTTGCAAAAATAAAAACATAAAGATCAATAAAAAGCGGCGAGGCTTAACCATGCTAGAACATCTTTAAAGAGTGAAGCCAATCTTCTCTCAAGTACGATCTTAAGTTTCTCTGAAAATAAAAATAAAAATAAACAAATAAAGAGAATGGGAAAGACAAAGGCAGATCTAGGTCGCAACAATGTAGCTAAACTTTCAAACAATGTAGCTTATGTCATAATTGATTGTTAGGTTGTCTTAGAATCCTAAAGAATTATTGTCACATAGTCGTTTTAATTTATGGGCAAATTTAGATAGAATAAAGACTTCACATCTTTGCAAAAATAAATATTTAATATATGTATTACTTACAATTAATTATGAACTATGAATTATTTTTTAAAGATCACTAAGACAATTTCTTTATTTATTAAATATTTATGCTTCCAAATGATATCAAGAAGAAAGTAAGGTATGGTTTGACTTGGCTGATATAATGTCTAAGAATATATCCCTAATAATGTGAAGAGATTAGAACATGGTTGAAAATAAAAACAACAAATTTGTATATTGTAGATATATATTAACTTCAGATGAAAAATATATTTGAAGTTTCTTAAAACCTTATCTTTGTTCAAAAAAGTATTTCTACAATGGGAGAAGAATATAATGCTTTTGAAAAAAAAAAAAAAAAAAAGAAATGTTGATACTATCAAGATTAAATAGATTGTATATAAATTAAAATAATTAAAAAATAGACCAAACTTGCAAATATAAAATTAAAATAAATATAACATTATTGAACCATCTTTCTTTTAAAATATCAATTCAACTAAAAACTTCCAATTTAAAAAAAAAAAAAAAAAAAAAAAAAAAAAAAAAACCAATGATAAAATAAATTCTTTTTATTTTAATCACATGTAAGTATTATAATAAGTAAAAACAAAATATAAAAAAAAAATCAAATCAAAGGGATGTATTTGTCATAGACATCTATATTTACTAATAAATTTACTTAAACAAGTAGAAATAAGTAGAATTAGGTAGAAGTAAGTAAAAGTAGGTAAAATTGTTAATATCTTATGAAGAAGCTTATTAGACATAGATTTGACTTTGCACATGTTTATTGGTGATTGGTGGATTAAACACTTGGTCAACAAGTTGGCTACATATTGTACATGTTAGTTACAAATATCACAAGTTAGCTATGTAGTACACATATTGAAAACTTATTTGACAAGTTAAACATATATCTTGTAAGTTGAATTCATTTTACATGGCCTACAAAGCATTACCACATAGTTCATTACTTAGATAATATATATAGAGATAAGAGTGAAGTCTTCTTTACTTTCTTCAATTTTTAATTTTAATTTTAATTTTAATTTTATTTATTTTTTTCACTCTAATTTCAAGAATCTCTAATCTTCTTATGTATGATAATAGCCATTTTGGTTCCTTCTTAGTTATACATATTTTGTCATTTCCTTTTGTGATCTATTTTAGTATAAATATATATTATTTTTTATTTATATTCTTTGAGTTTTTACCCTTGACATTATTTTATAGCAATATACATATATTTATAAGTTTTAAAAAGCTTTTCATAAGAAACAAGTGTATTAAAGGTCTACATAATATTTAAAATTTCAAGACATGGTATTAAAGGTCCATCAAATATTATAAATTCAACCTTAACATTTACAAATCTATATAGTCTGAAAAAAAAAATTAAAATTAAAATTAAATTAACTTGATATAAAGAATAGATTAAAAAAGACTAAATTTTTCACATACATATCAAATGAAGAACTTATGATAATAGTAATACCAAAGATATCATCAATGTAGTTCAATTTGGACATCTAAGTATTCTTATTATAAAGTTACAAAATTAATAAGATGTTTCAATAGATATTTCTAATACAAATGAAAAATTTATATATAAATAAATAAATATATATAAATAAATATATATACATATATATATAAGGATCATAAAAATTAATATTTTTTCTTGATTAATTTATTTAATTCAAATTAATTTTTAATGTACAAATATAATAGTTGAAATCAATTTATTGTAAAAAAATGAATTAAAATAGGTATTAAAAATATATAATTCTATTATAATTAAATTTATAAAAGTACTAAATACTTCTATTTAAGATATAATTTAAGATAAAAAAATATTAATAATTAATAATTTGATGATATATTTTTATAGAATTTAGATTCAAAAATATATGTTTATATATCAATAATTAAAAAATAATAATATAAAAAATCTAATTTAATTTTTTTTAAACATTTGCGTAGACTTCAAACTTAAATTCATTGGTCAAAATCAATAGTTTACTTGACAATAAAAGAGATTATAAGATCATATTGGACAACAAAAGTTCAATGGACTTCAACACCTTCAAACAACTCAAGAAGATTTTGATGTACTTCTTTTGAGCTATCCTTTTAAACTCAAGTTGTAGATTAGCTTTAATATATAGAATAAAATATACACTTAAATATTGATGCACCACTAACTTCACTATGATTATATGCATAATTATTCTTAATAGTATCTTCCTATCATCATTATACTTCTTTCTTGTACTCTAGGTCTAATTTTTAAAGAAATTTTACTAAATCATATTACTTGTAAAAAAAAATTCTGTGAGACAATACATTAATTAATTGGTCAAAATCAATACTTTAACTAGATCAAAAGTATCTTCACTTATTTTTTATCAGCTTTCAAAAAATAAAATAAAAAATTGGAGTCATTGATTTAATACAAGCCACCAAAGCACTTCTTGATAAATAGATTATAGGTCCCTTACAACATAGAGAAGAAAATATCCTACAATTTAAATCATTTAATTGACAATTGCTAAATCAATTGCTGCAAGTATTATTAGTAGACACCTTATTCCTTAACAAACAACTATTTTGTTCACATAGTGTCAAATATTTAAAAGATTTATTACATGACTCTTCTCACACTTCCTTAAAAAGTGTTACATGACTCTTCTCACACTCATCCATCCATTCGTCCATCCATCCATTCGTCCATCCATCCATTCGTCCATCCATCTATCCTTAATGCAGGTATTACGTTAACAAATCAAATATGAGATAGACTACCCCTTCCCAGATAGCTACAATGCAGGGTAGGGGCTACGCTAGCCCAGGTAGGGGCGAAATCCCCTCTCTATTCACACTTGAAAGCTGGGCCACTGTTCCCTGGCTGGTGATCATAGGTTTCCCGTGTCTCGATGAAGAGCTAAAACTAGAGATAAAATAAAATAAAATAAAAATCAGGAAATGGTACTCCTACAAAGCAAAGGTACTACCACTAAAAATAGCTGATTGAAAGATGGGATTCATGAAAACTTAACCCAGCTTTTTGCACTTCGTGTGAGCACCGCAAATTTTAAGTATCCATGGTAAAACTTGTAAATCTATCAGATTCCATTCGGATTCCATGCGTGGTCAGCTTCTTTTTCTGGGTTCGGCACAGTGGATGAATGAATGAATTCTGGGAACAGTGAATAAAACATAGGCTGGCCTTGTTCACGTGGTCAATCATTAAGGAGCAAAACCATGAGTTGGACGTGAGCCACTCTTTGGATGCATGAGTGAATTATATGCCTGTTTTCGGTTATACGGATGATGAATTCGATGGAATATTCCCCTCATCGTTTGAGGAAAAATGTTGTGTGGGTTGTGCATTTGTTCCTGATTGGATAGGATCAAGGTTACACTATATTTGATACGTCTACTTTTTAATTTAGCCATTCGACAATGCACGTAGTGTGTCCAAAAGTGTAAGTTCACTATTTCAGACCATTTTTTAAATTTTTTACAATTTGTTTGAATTTACTTTGATATTAAAAATATAAGTTAATGTTTACTTCTAATGGTTGTTGGTATATATATTTTTTCCAAACCACTAACATATATAGTTATATGTATATATATATAGATATATATAAACTCACATTCACTATTTTTTGAAATTTATTTGTTTTTTTTAATCCTTTTCCACAACTAAAGAATAGAATCTTCATTTGATAGTATGTTTCAGAATCTTCTTTTTTATTGTTTTTGAAATGTTAACTTTAATTTCTATATAAAATTAAGTGGCAAGTTTTAGGATATTCCAAAATACAAGTACTTGTAAATACAAGTCCTTCATATATTTCACTTGTACAAATACAAGTTTTTATTTACCAAGAAAAGTTGACACCATTAGCTTTCTTCAATCAATTTTCATTAAGTTGTACCCACTTCAAAAAGCCACTTTCTCATCTTTACTCACATTACACGTTTCTTTACAAATTCCAAATATGAACGTGAACATAAACAACCCATACCAGTTCAATAAAAAGAAAGTTATTTAGTAGTAACATTCTTCGAGGTAGAACAATACTTCCAAAGGGGGGGGGGGGATGGGGGCGGGTCGCAAATCGCGGGTGGGGTGGTTCCAAAAGCACCTGAGGACGGGGTCGCTGAGCACCGGCGGCGGCATAAGACCGCAACCAGGGCTCATTCCTGCGAGGTGCACGGGACCCAAGGCCGAGGTCGGCCCATGCCGCGGGGGGCCTATAACCCCACGCGCTCGGCACCAGGCTCCCTTTGAGCGTGTCTCCTGCTATTTCTGCTGCAGTTCTTCTTCTTGGAGGAAAAATCTCTTGTTTCCATCCTTCTTAAGGCCCGGTTTTGTGCCAGTTTGTGGAAGCAACAACGACAACAACAGTAGAACAGTAGAACACAGGACACAAGCACTCTTGTCTTGCCTTAAAGTTTGCCATCGCTACCCATTTCTCCAAGTGTTGCTCAAGGTAACGTCTCGCTGTTGGGTTTGGTACTCCTGATGTTTCTTCGCAATTGAAACGACTTTTGGTTTCTTTTCTTGTTGGATCCTCAGAGTATGACTACTGGGGAGAGGCTTGATTTCACGTATTCTTTTTAGGGTCGTTTATTGTTTTTCTGGTTTTGATTTTGTTTTTCTTTCTGTGATGGAGTTTTCGAGCAGAGAAATTCGTGTGAGAGGTGTGGTTGTGTTGTGTAGTGTATGGGTTTATTTCCTGGGATTACGTGTTAGGATTTTTTTTGTGTTGAGTAGTTTTCCTTGGTGGGGAATCGGTCACATGAATCCTCTGATTATTTTTAGCGAGTTGTTTGCTGTAGTTTCTCGCTCCCGTTTCTGTTCGTCGTTGTTTTGCTCTGGTTGCGCGTATTGTTAAGTTTGACGAGCGATCAGTTTGTGGATACTGTAGGGGAAGTGTTGAGGGCCATCTTGATAGAGACTGACTAGATTTTTTTTGTGCTTGAATGTAGAACTTTGTGAAAGATGAGTTATTATAATCAAGGAGGGCCACCTGTAGGAGCACCTCCTCCGCAATACGGTAATATTTGAGCTTCATTTCTTTCTGTTATAATTTTTTGATTTCCTGTCTTGTTAGTGATGGTTTACTCTTAGCAGTAACGCAATTCAGTTATTAGTATTTTGGTAATGGTTAGAGTGTTGTTATCAAACGTATAGCGACCGTAATTACATGAAATACTCGTTTATCACGTGACTGTTTTGTAATGCGAATGGAGTGTTTGCGGTTTGATACGGTGGAATTGATTAAATTGAACTGGACGGTGCAGCTCCTCAAGGATATCCTCCTCAGGGTTACCCGCCACAAGGATACCCACAACAAGGATACCCGCAACAAGGATACCCTCAACAGTATCCACAACAGCAGCAGAACAAGAGCCCATCGTTTTGTGAAGCTTTGTAAGTTACTTGCAGCTCAGCAATTTCTCGTTTGTCAGATATATCCCACTGGAAAATCCACTACGTTATGAACAGAAATAATCTCGTGCTGAAGGACTGTTTGATAACGTTGTTGTTAGTACTGGTAACAGCTGTGGATGTGTGAGATAGAAGTGGCCTTGTGAATCACGTAGAATCTGTAGTGATTGTGTGGTTGGATAGAGCTGATCTAGTCCCGTGGCTTGTTTTGCAGTCTTGCGGCTTTGTGCTGTTGTTGCTTGCTTGATGCATGCTTCTGAGCATGGCTCATTTGCAACCTGGGTGGAAGATGTATCAAATGCAAATGCAAATGCAATGGTAGCTGCCGGCAATTTTACTACCGTCAGTATGATCTATTCAGGCTTAGTTACTTTCTAGACTTCTTTTGTTCTTTTGAAAGATGCGACGTGATCTTGAATATTAGTTCCTAGTATCTGGAGGAACGTTCAAACTCTCAGCATATTATCAGCTGCAACCAGAAACACTCGGGGGTGGGTGTGGAGCATATGCCTAATAAGTGTTCTGGATGTAGACTAGGATCTTTTTCATCCAACCAGGCTTGTAGTCGATGTAGTAAGTGCAGCAGCTGTGCTGACGATTAGAATTTTTTTCTTTTGGGTTCGAATCAAAATCCGTGTATACCCGGTACATACTGAAAGCGTTTTACTTCATTCTTTTAAGTTGATGTGGATTTTTAAAAAAGTTTTGTGGAATCGCGGTGACTCCAAGTGGATGTTTATATATATGTGTATATATATGGATTGATTGGTACCAGTTCGTTGGTTGCTCGAAGAGTCATCGGATGATTGGAAGGACAAAAACATCGTTGAAAACTTTATTTTGCACCAGGTCCAGAATCATTTAAGATGCAGCAGGATAGACCTTGTGTATTAGTCGTTACTTTTCTCTTTTTCACAGGAAGTGGTCAATTGCTTGAAAAGAAAGTTCTATAATGTATGTTTGTTAAGAAATTTGCTTGGTACTCCCTTTTCATTATGGAGTCTAATAACTTAAGCAGAGGAGAAAACATTTTTATTTTTTTACCAATTAGAACATAAGCATCAAGTAGTTGGTTTTTTTTATTTAAAAAAACTAAACCAAACATCATAGGAAGGAAGATGATGTGGAATACATTCTTTTTTCACATTATATGTGTATTATTGTCTCTTAGATTTTGTAGTAGGCCTAGTTTAAGGATATAGTTTTTACAAAAAAATTAAGTAATATGAATATATCCTAAAAATAACCATTAAATATAAAATATGTGTTTTTGTTTTGATTTAATTTATTTTCGAAAAATTGATTATAATAAATAGAAATAATAAATATTATTTTAGTGACATATTTAGGTTTATTAGAAGTATATAAAGATTTAGTCTATATAATAGTCTTTTTTATACTTGGTATTATATCTAAATACCAAGGATTCTAGAAACGTTTTATTTTTCTTCTTCCAATTGAAGAATCCTAACAAGGCTTTTGTATCATGGTCTTTCAATATAGATTTTTCAATATAAAATATCACTTATTTTAAGTCAACATTGATGTTTATTTTGTATTGTACTTCTAAAATTTTTGTGAGTTTTTTTTTTTCTGAAGACTCTATTGAAGTACGAAATAGTTAAAACAAAAAAAAAATTCACTCAAACAAAAGCATTATAAGATTGTACAATTTTTTTTGTTGTACTTTACACTTCTTTTATAAAACAATCTTTTAAAATAAACTTCAAGGGTTTATCAAGGCAAAAATATGTTGATGCTTTAAAACCATAGTATATTTAGAAAGTTTATAATGATATTTGATTTACTAGGCTACTTAAATGTCTTTAAAATTTTAAAATATTGCCTCAAGACTTAAAAATTATTTAAATAACTTAAATTTTGGTCTTAATATTATAATGATATAACCATATCTTATTACTTACTTTAAATAGAAAATATTCTTTTTCTAAAAGTATCAATATTAATTTTTTTATTCTTCTTAAGTTTATTTTATTAATATCTTTAATTAATTATGAAATTATGCTATTTTTATGTTAAATCTTTTAATACTAGATTTTTAACTTTTAAAAAGTAATAAGTATCAAATTGTAAATGACAACCATAATTGGAAGAAAAAAAGTTTTTTGATAAAAGAATGTATAGCATTACTATATATATATATACATATATATATATATATATATAAAAATTGATGATAAAAAGATTGTCTAATTATTTTAGTGATACTTAATATTACATTATAAATATTGTCTTAATAATTTATTCAAATATTTTATTTATCCATTAGTTTGAGGATGAAAAACTAAAAACAACTCAATATTGACTTGTAAAATGTTAAAGGGTGCTATCTAAAACCTTAAGGCAAAATTAATCTCAAATCAAATATAATATTACTTAAAAGTTTATGATATCAATAAATATTATGAAAAAAAAAGTTTATTTGCTTCTTCACTTATAATAATTTCACTCCATGGTATAAAATATTCTACTTCAATTGTAAATTCCACCATCATAATTACAAAGTCATAAAAATTTAAAATTTAAAAATTTGTAATAAAGTCAATTAAAACTAATGACTAAAGCTACTTTAGAATAGATACATGTTGAAGAAGTCTATAGAGCCAATGATGTAGAGTCTTTGCATAAGAACAAGTTTCTTAAGATTGAAAAATTATTTTAACAATTTTTTACATTTAAGGCTACAAAAAATCTCTTGAAATAAGTCTCAATTTTTTATTTATTTATTTGGTTTATTTTTGTTGTATTAAAATTTATGTTGTACTTGAAGTACACGTAATTGTACTTGACCTTTTGGAATTCATATATCTATATATATCTATATATATATATATATATATATATAAAATCAATAAGATTGTTTTTAAAAATAAAATCTCCTATAAATATAATTAAAATAATTTCTAACATCAAGAATAATAGGGTTTGTTAACATACTTTAAAAAAAATTATTTTAAAAAATAACATCAATTAAAATTATTGATTTGACTCAAAGGTGTAGTTGCATTAGCTTCAAAATGATGATTTTTTGTTGATTATATACAATATTTCTTTCTTTTGGTGCTAAATAATGATAATCAAACAATGCATCTAATAAGCCTTGTTATTTTTTAAAACAAAATGCATATTAAATATATAGTATGGGCAAAGATATATTCAAATAGATTTGGCAACAATTGAAATCATGTGTTGACATGAATTGCTTAAGATTCTTGTGAACATTATAAATTATAATTACATAAGCAATGTCTTTTTGGTAGTGATGCCATTCTTAGAATAAATACATACCGACAAGAAGTTCTTTTTTGTGAATCTTATAATTATTTTTAGCTACATATAATTTTTAAAATTAAAAGATAATAGAATGAAAAGTATCAATTTCATCTAATAATCATAAAATTATACTTAATAAAAAATTTGATGTATCTTATTTCAAGAATAATGGCTTTAAAAAATTTGGACAAAATAAAATAGGAATTGATGTAGATTATTTTTTTCAAAGCTTAAATTTTTTCTATTTTATCTTGACTCTATTCTAATTTGACTTTGCAAGTTAATTATATAAGTGGAGTAACAACTTGAAAGATTTAAAAAATTAAAAATTTAATAATAGTTTGCAAATCCTAAAAACATTAGACATTATGTACCATTTCAAGAATTTACCAATCCATAAAAAATAAAAAATAAAAAAAATCTATTTTAATTTTTTATTTAAAATGATATATTCTAAAAATCTTATTTTAACTATTTAAAATAGATTTTTTTTTTTTTTTTAATTTTTTTTTTAAATTTTTTATCTTAGTATGTAATCTCATCTTTTTAAATTTTTGTTGTATGAAGCAAATATGTTGTTTATGTTTCTTCATAGTATTAGAGTGTCATTTAAGTAACATATGACAAAATTATCTAAAAATTCAAGAAATAAATTATTCATCAAATGCTAAAAAGTAGCTAGAGCATTTATATGGTTCAAAAAGCATCACATTACATTTAAAATGGCCATATATAGTCCAAAATATAATCTTTCATCTATTCCCTTTTAAAATACATATCAAATTGTAAGTTCTTTGTACATCTATAATAATATAGATTTTGATCAAAGAGCCCTAATGTCAAAAAAAAAAATAATATTAATTCTTGATGGTTAATTTATTGAGTCTACAATAATCTATTCACCTACGCAAGGATCTATTTTTTTTTCTTTAGAAAGAAGATGTGTACACTTGAAAAAGCTTTTAAATATCAAATAAAATATTAATTTTTTTTATTAATATTTTCTCTTAAAGAAATAATTTTATTCTACATTAAGTTATAAACTAGTTCAAAGAGTAGTTGAACTTATTCTCAAAGATTAATTGCAAAATCATAATATTAATGTTTTGATAATATATTAACATCTTTTTTCTCAAATATATCTTAGTATTTTTCAAATTGCTCCAAATTTCTATTGCAACCTTTATTTGGATAAAAAATTGGTGTTTTATAAATAATAAATAAATATTTTTTATTTTCATTGTACATAAATGCCTTAATTTTAATAAATAAAAGTCAAGAAGATTTTATAAAACTTAGAATACATCTTTTAATAACCTTTTTAAATTTCTAGTTAATATTAAAGCTATATGATTTAAATTAAAGAATAACTAATATCATTAGATTTGAAGGTCATTAAATAATATTAAATACAATATTGAATATTTAATGTCTTAATACTACTTTTAATGGCTTTGTCTCTTCTCTGACATCTCTAAATGCAAGTGGTTGTCTATCAATAATCTTTTATGGAGTTAATTAGATCTTCTTTAAAAGAAATATTTTTTTATAATTCAAAGATTAAATATATTAGGATTTTGGTATTTAGAAACACTTCAATTAAAAGTCACAACTTGAAGTTTTAATAGTTATAGAAAGTTGAAAATAATGCATAAGATCTTATAGTAATATCAAACATTTAATTAATGAGTGTGGTCTAGGATTGTTTGATTGCAAGGTCCTTACTACAAGTAAACATCTTTTTTTTCTAACTTTTTTATGTTTGAATTTTAGTGTCTTGTCTAAAATCAAATTAAATTGATAGAATTATCTTATATTTTATGATATTCTTATTTACAATATAAACATAGGTTTTTACAATGGTATCTCAATTTTCTTCTAATATTAGTTAATTTGAATTGAATTATATCAACCAGCATAGGTTCTAGCCTTGATAAAGTTTTTTGTGGAGGACTAAGTAGTTATTGTCAATAATATTTTCTTCTCCAATCAAATCTTTGTTCTTGGTACCTTTAAAAGAGTAAATTCTTGTATGCAATTGCTTAAGTGATAATTATTTTTAATAAATTTTCTTTGGTCATTGTCAATAATATATTTTATTATTATTATTTAAGTTATATCAAATCTTATTTATTATAAAATTATTTTTTTAATCCAAATTACAAACAAATTATGAGATTTAGTAGTTTTAATAACAATTAACATGACTCTTATTGCAAAGAATAGAGTTTTGTTTCTACTACTATTTTTTGATAACTCTCTTTAAATATAGCCATAAATGATTTTAAAAATAATAAAAAATAATAAAAATAATAAAAATTATTTTTCATAAAAGTTACAAATTAAAAAATAATAATTTTAGATAGAAGTGTGTTTATATATCCTACTTGAATAATTCTATCAAGGTTCAAGGAGGATG